TTAAATATATCAGGAGAGATTCAGTGGATAAACCTTATACCCCCAATGGTTTCTATGACGTCCTTTTGAAAGTGAGGATCAATGCATTCTTGAAACAAAGGCCTCGGTTCAGTCTTATACTCCCAAGAAACAAGAAACCAAGAAGGTCAAAGAAAGCCAAATACGTTTTATCTACCCTCGGCTGTTTCACTTTAAACCAGTGGCGGATCCAGGGGAGGGGCCCGGCCCCCTTCTTAATTTTAGACTTAACTGAGGCCCGAATTCGAAGGGCGGAAAAAGTTTTTGGGAGACCGGGCTTTCCCTTATCTCAGGCTCTGGATAAAAGCCACCCCCCCCCCCCCCTCCAAAGGTCTGGCCCCGGCACTGCAAACTTTTCGTTTTTTCTTTTGGCCGACCGGGGATGGGGGGAAGTGATGAAGCCCTAAAAAAAATCTGCATGCAGGGAACCTACCATGGATATTGCCTTCAAAAGTGGTAGGAAACTTTGAAACGATGCAATGTTTAAAAAAGGCCAAAGCGTTTTTACCTCCCTCGGGGGTTTCCCGTTTAACCCAGGGGGGGTCCCGGGGGGGGGCCCCGCCCCCCTTTTTATTTTTGACTTTACAGGGGCCCGGAATTTGAAGGGGGAAAAAATTTTTGGGGGGCCCGGCTTTCCCCTTTCCCAGGCTCTTGGAAAAAACCCCCCCCCCCCCCCCCATCCTAAGGTCTGGATCCGGCACTGTAAACTTTTCTGCTTTTCTATTGGCCGACCTGGGATAGGGAGAAGTGATGAAGCCCTAAAAAATATCTGCATGCAGGGAACCTAACAATGATATTGCCTTCAAAAGTGGTAGGAATCTTTGAAACGATGCAATGTTCTTAGGAAGACAAAAATGTCATCGGATAATTTATCATGCCCTTGGACCATTAGAACTGGATCGCAAAACGTTCTATTGAATTAGTTATGTTCCATAAATTTTATTAGCGAGCATGGCATGTGGTTTATGACCAAAGCGAGGCGAAAGAGGCTTTTCGTGCGAAGCGCGAGAAGAAGGGGAGGGAAAAATTCTATTGTCCCCTCCTTTCGTCTCACCCTTCAAGCTCGTCACTTGACTCGTGCTAAAAAGGCGCGCTCACCTCGCTTTGCTCAGTGCAGGGTATATTTTATTGCATTATTCTCATTGATGACGTGGCACACCCTGGGATCCCAGTGCTAAGTAGCGTGCATGCCTGGTAGTCCTTGCAAATTCTCCTATGTTTCTAAAAACGGGGATGTACCACATTTTCGATCACCCCTGTTACCCTCTTCGAGAACGGAGCTGGTGAAGGTGAACTTAGGTTCTGACAAAGGCTAGATTATTTCCACTGAAAGACTTGTCTAAGGTCAAAAAGGAAAAGGAGTTTGGAAGTGCGGTGATTACCGGAGTAGAATCAGATCTTACAGAATCTGATGAAAACTGATCGAATGATATCAAGGACGCAAAAGTTCTTTCAGGGAATTAATGCTTGATAACAGCGGAGCTGTAAGACTTGAATTTTCATATGATTTTAGTTTGTTATTTGACACTCACAGGTAAGTCTGCATATATGATCTCAATCCTACTCACTCATTTTAGCGAGGTACGTAGAATTTTGCAAAAAATGATCTCCAGTTTCCCATCTTTTGTTTTCGCTCCATTTTTCGTGCTCTCCAAACTTCCTGGGTGCATCCATAACCCGATATACACACACAAAATGCCACGAATAAATTCTTAAATATTAAACATAAATCTCAGCTACATTGCTTTTTGAGTATTTTCTAGACTCATTGCATTGGCGTTTCCAGCAAGGGTGTTGTTATACCGGTTCTTCAGTTACACTGTGCTTCTCTCTGGAAATCGTATTGCCCTTGTGCGAAGTCCTCGCTACGCGTCACTTGAATGTAACTTGAATATGCCCGTGGTGAGCTGTTAAATTAGGCAGAGGACGGGTAAAGCAGGAAAACCAAAAAGAAAGGTGGTCGGAGATGGGTTCGGCTTTTAAGAGAAGTGGGAGATAAAAGGCCACAGTTCCACCAATGCTGGGATTACTCTAGAATAGGAGGGTTGTAAAAAAATAACAATTAATCACGTTGTTTGCAAAACAAAAGTTACTTACAGTCTTTATTTACAATAATATAAGATAGCAAAGAGCGATCACTTTGTTATGCTACGTTCAGCTAGTAGTTAATGTCATGCTGGTCATACGACCTGGGCAAATGAATCGATCTGATACTAGACAAGAACAGTCGTGCTCGAAAAGGACTGCTCGTCTCAAACACAACTTATCTGCGAATGGCTTACTGCTAAACTAATGATAGCCTGAAATTCATCCGATTACTTCGAGTTGTTTTCTCCTCTCAAAAACGTCTGAATCGACCGGCCGTTAATGCCGTCCAGTGACGTCACTCACTACCCGAAAACCGGGTAGTGATTTTGATTGGTTGATTGTCTAAACATTCGCATAATTATGTATAATTATCAAAAATTTTTGGCGGGATTGTCGCTTTATATTCAGCGGATCGCATCCCTGGCATTCGTTTAGTTCAAACATTTCGATAAGCTTAATCTTTATCTTAAACAGCAAAATTGCCCTTGTCTTCGAAATTGAAATGCTAAATTGAACTGCGAATGAAGAATCGTTGCGGAGAGTCGGTAGGTTTTTCATTTAGAGCCGCTTTGTGGTTTCGGCGGCCGGTGATTTTGTTTACGCGAAGTTTTCAGAGATTGAGATCAATGTTATAATTCGACCTTCTTGCTTTTTTTACCTTCAAGTGTAATGATTCTGTTAGCTATTCTTTCTTGTCTCTGTGTTTTTTTTTTCTTCGTTAAGGACCAAATAGCTTCTTTTCAATTAAAGCAAATCACTGTATTTTTTAATTAAGGGTTCCGTGTGTGTTTATTTCATTGCGTGATTGCGACCGAGTTTGATCATAGAATTTAGTACAACCGGTTCAGATTTTTACTGCATGCAATTGATAGTTTGAACGTGAAACATGAATTACAATCGAAAAAATAAAGCAGTTCTGTATCATGCAGACATTTCTAAACGATATTCTCGGTTTGCCACTTGAAAATCGTGTTTTAGTTTTTGCATGAATTAAAGCAAAGGTCAAGGAGTAGTGACGTCACTGGACGGCATTAACGGCCTGTCGATTCAGACGTTACTGAGGGAGTAATAACGACTCGAAGTAATCGGATGAAATTCAGGCTTAACTAATGACAGCGTTGTTTTAGTGCGCGACACAATTCAACCCTGTCTCCAGGGCAAAAACATGAATCCCTGGTGACAAGGCTGGCCACAATTGAGGACAGAAAAAAAAGTGAACAAAGACTCCTAGGATCTCTTTTTTTAAAAAAACAACAATTTATCCGTTAGGAAGTAAGTACTATTAGTCGTGACTTAAGGGCACTTAGTACTTCATGTAATTGTCACGAAATGTCCTCTAGGTCATGAAGTAGTCAATCACGAAGTGTCCTCCAATGACGTCATCAAAAATTCAAGATGGCCAACCTCATGTAAGAGTATAAGTCGTTATATAGATGTTACATGGTGTTTTTTTCCCCTTCGCACTGCGCATGCGCCGCGTACTACGCATGCGCATTATTAAGAGAAAACGTTTGAAAACGTTTTTTGATGACGGATCTCATGTTAGAAGACGAGGACTGTCCATCAACCTATCATCATCCCACCATCAACCTACCATCAACCCACCATCAACCTGCCATCAGCCTGACATCAACCTACCATCAACCCACCATCAACCCCACATCAAACCGATACTTTAAGGATCTCATGTTAGAGTAAAAAAGACAGACAAATAGTCACATCATTTTATTACATTGCAAATCACAAGTTTACATTCAAGGTTTACAGAGTTTTAAGATATCTTTGGCAATGGGCACACAACAAATCAAAGTCTCCGATGGTATTATTGTAAATGATAGTCTTCTTTGTTTCTCTCTTCTTGATTCGAATACGTTGTTTCAGGTCTTCAATCTGTTTCTCTCTAATCTGTAAAAGAGTTCGCATCATTGCCTAGACATGTTCAATTCCCTAAGGACTTTATCTTTTCTGTCGCATACGTGTCATAGTAAGAAATAGCTTTTTCAGAAACAGCGTCATATACTTGTTTGTTCCATTCAAACAAGAACGAGTTTTAACGTTTCAAAGTTTAGATCGTGATTGGAGATGTCTTCTACAATGAGGTCATGCATAAACTCTTGATACCCTGGAACCTTGGAAGTGTCTATCGCTTGTAGTAGTTGGTCCATCTCATTGTTACTATGATGGTCCATCGGGAATGAAGGCTTGTTGCTTCACACAAATACCATTTTTCATACGCTATCAAGCGTTTTATTGAATTCACAGGAGCTGTAACAAAAGGATACTTGTAGTTTATCAACCTATTACATAAATAATGTTTAGTTTAATAATGTTCCCATCGTTTCCTGTTCCGTAACCTGGCCACCTGGGTGCTCTCGCCTTCCGTTTTTTAGATGATTTGCGTGTTGAATCAGGCGGGACATCCAACAACAAAGGGAGTGCCATTTCCTCAGGTGAAATAGAAGGCATCGTTTCTATTCGGCGAGGAATTTTCGATTCCACTGTAGTCACAGGTGTCGCAGGTAGTTTTCTTGGCATTTTTGTAGACTTTGATTGAGATGTATTGAGGTCTCTTTTCCTGGACGCCTCTGCAGGTGTACTTTCATCTGTTTTGCCGGATGTCTCTGTAGCAGACAAAGGATCTGGTTTGGGAAGGACCACAGTCGGTTTTATCGCCGACTCCGTTTTCATTTGTTTTGTCAGTCCTTGATACCGCTGTAGAAGTTGATCCAACATGAGGACTTTTTGGTCTTCTGGTAAAGGAGACTCTATGGTTTGCTTCATGTCTCGATCTAATGTCGTCAGCGTTGGAAGTTGAACAGGAGCAGTTAAACGCCGTTCTGTCTCCATGCTCTGTAATAAATGTTCCGGTATAATCACCATCTTTTGAGCGTGCTTCATTTGGACACTTTACCCAGTAAATCAACAGCAAGGGGTACAATCAGAGCAGCAAGGGCTGGTAAAAATCCTCCTATTTGATTGAGCACTTCCTTCTTCTGTTTAAGGCTCGGTTTCTTGCGGGTCAAATAGAGGAGCTTAGACTTGTGCGGTTTCAATCGTTTAAATGACGAACTCGGTACTATGATGTTGCCTTTAAGAAGATTCAGGGCCACTTCCCCAATAGCTTCCATCTGTCCTCTATTAGCATGGGCTATCATATCTTTTCGTTGCTTTCCATTGCTTTTAAAACACGCACAAAGAAAGGGTAGGTGTTGTTGGAATTTGGATTGTTTGACAATACTTGACCGCTTTCGTTTTGTCCCTCTGGTCTCAGTCGTAGTGCCAGAACGTAAGACCATATTGCCTCCGCGTTGATTAACAACTCTTGACTTCACTGTGCCACCTGACTTACACGAAGGCATGGTGCTAACTGACGTCGACAGTTAGAGGTCCGTCTGTTTTATGGGTTTTCTTGTTGACGTAGACCACAGGCAAAGATTGTGAGACAGGCAGTATGTTACTACGTAATCGTAGGATAGCCGGTGTTCGCGGATGTAAATCCAACATGAGATAATTATAACCATACGGCTGCGAGGTGGCATCTTGAAAACTTTCCCATACGTAAGGAACCTGCCCTGCAAAAGCTTGTTGAGCCAAGGTTCTGAAACCCAATGTATCACGAGGATTATTAAAGGCAATGATGTAATGAGCATTGAGAGAAATACTTCTTGAAAATTTTCCCGGTGGGAAAAGGTTCTGTGTCAAGTAGATGCAGGTGACATCACAATGATAAGACACTTTTGTGAACAGGTCCCGAATACGTTCGTCCTCGCTACAATTCCTCATTAAATCATCCAACACGAGTATACCTGGACGACAACGCATTGGAAATAAAGCCGGAATATCTTCAGGAATACCCTCTACAAACGTAATCTGTGACGCCATGTCCTGAAAGCATTCTTGCCACTGCCCATAACAGTACACAGTTTTACGAATAGGTCTTTCAAGTGTCTGAAGTAAGTCCCTGGAACGGTTTGTTGTTGAAACGCGTAACATCTCGCTCTATGTATTCATCCATGCCATAGGTATCGGGAGGAAACCCGTAACTGTCAAAGAATTCACTTTCCCACGAAGAAATAAAGTACATGGCCACCCAATGTGTCCCGGGCTGATCATGAGGGTCCGTATTTGCGATCAGTTCCGAAGGATACTTGTTAACGATAGGGAACTTGTCTCTTGGGAAGACACCTTGCATAACGGGAGCTAAAATGGGGTCTTGTAGTGCCGCTTGCCATAGCTCAAAGGTGATATGCATCGTTTTGTCTTTAAGCGCCCTGTGACAGGTCGTACACCACACGTCTGTTACCATCAATTTGCAACTGATTCTGGAATTCTGCGTACACAATTAAATTGAGAACTGCAGGGGTCTCAGTGCCAAATTTTAAATACAACTTGACATTTCCGCTGCGATTAGGAATCAATCTTCTCTGTCAATGTCTATACCATGACCACAGTTCATATCACCACTGCCTGAGAAAAGTGTATTGTAGCCATCGATTTTCTTGCCATCTATCAAGTCGATGCCTGAGTAAGGCATTTCTTCTCCATCGACTGTTAGACGAACAGCATTCAGATCAAACAGCTGGAAGTTGAATGGGTTCCTCCCCAAGTTTCCATTGTAAGCATCGTTTCGCACCATTCCAAATATGATGCATTGGGGGATGAGACCATTGAATAGATCGGTCTCTGTGTGATTTAATACTCCTCTGGGAATGATCCTAGCATGCCTAGGGGTTCTTGTTAGTATATAGATTGCAGGAAGTGCCTTCTGACCCGTCATGGTGTTTACATGATCCAATTTAGTGTTGTCTGCCACATGAACACGGAGTGTGCTTGACACTATTTGTAACTTGCAATCGTTGGTATCTTGACCACCCATCAGACTAAATTCAGTGCTGTTAAGATCTATCTTGATTTTGATTTCCAATCCATCCAACAGTAACTTGTCAAAAAGAATCCCAGATTTCGATCACACATATTGTCCAAGGTTTTTGAGCAAAATGGGAATAGGGTAAACAGTTTGTACTGATACAAAGCTATCGTCCGTTGCAAACATTTAGTCGCACGTATCTTGCAGCATGGATTCAAATTAAGTAGCTACCTTTGAGTTTGACACCTTCCCTTTGGCCTGGAAAACAGCTGAAGTGACACCGATACTCAAGGCTGGAGACCACGATATTCCAAACAATAATAGACCGATTTCATTACTCCCTGTCCTTTCTAAAGTCTGTGAACGTGTCGCTCACAATCAACTTACGTCATATCTACTTTCGAGAGGCCGTTTATCATCCAAACAAAGCGGAAATAAACAGTGGCATTCAACGGAAACATCTGTCATTCAAACAACTGACGAAATCCTAAATGCCATTGACAAAAAGAAACTGACTGCAGTTGTCCTCCTTGATCTAAGCAAAGCTTTCGACAGTATTGACCATCAAATACTCCTCGCTAAGTTACAGGACATTGGTGCGTCCAGACCTGCGATAAAATGGCTCGGAAGCTATTTAACCTCGCGATACCAATTTGTGCGAATAAATACAACTCTGTCGACCAAACTACCTGTTAGTTCTGGCGTTCCACAAGGGAGCATCCTTGGCCCATTACTCTTTAACATCTACGTTAATGATCTCCCTTCTGTGCCAGAAAATTGTACATCGCAGTGTTACGTCGACGATACCAAACTTCTCATGTCATTTCAACTCCGCGATCAGCACGAAACGATAGAAAAAATGAACAAGGACTTGTTAAGCATTAGGAATTGGTGCTTTGATAATCAGCTTTTACTCAACCCAGATAAAACAAAACTAGTGATATTCGGCAGCCGGCAAATGACTGCTAAGGTTAGCGACTTTAGGCTATTTCTATTGGGGAAGGAACTCGAGCCCGTTAAGGCTGCAAGAGACCTTGGTGTCACACTGGACTCTAACTTAACATATAATGAGCATATTGTTTCTACTGTATCCTCATGCATGTCACGTTTGGGTCAAATTAACCGCGTTAAGCATATTTTTAATAAACACGCGCTAATTATTATTATAAATGCCTTAGTTTTTAGTAAATTATTCTATTGCTCTTCTGTTTGGAGCAATACTACTCAAACTAATCTGGACAAGCTCCAAGCAGTACAGAATTTCGCTTGTCGTATTTTGAGCGGCGCTAAAAAATTCGATCACATAACTCCTTTGCTAAAAGACTTGCGCTGGCTACCAATCAGGCAACAACTTTATTTTCGTTTTGCTGTTCTGGTTTTTAAGTGCATGACGAGTTGTGCTCCGGAGTATTTGACATCAAAGCTCGTTGGAAGATCCGCCGTCTCGACAAGGAATACGAGAAATTCTCAACTTTTGAACATACCACTCTTCCGCACTGCCAGCGGCCAAAGGACCTTTCAATATAGAGCAACCTCTCTCTGGAATGAGTTGCAGCCTGCGCTCAAACTTAGCCCATCCGTGACGGAATTCAAGTGTTTACTCAGGCAAAAGCTTCTTAATGACTGCTTTATTTAATTAATTTAATTAATTTTATTGACCTTTGTCTTCTTTTATCATTGTTATATTCTTATTGTCATGTACTTGGTTTATAATTTTGTAATGTAAAATTGACTCTGAAAAGCCCCGTGGGGACGAGCCAATAAAGTATGTATGTACGTATGTAAGGTGAACAAAATATCAAATCAAATTGTTCACCATCAGTCAGCTACTCTGAATTTGCATCCATGCTGCAGGATATAAAAAAACTACAAGCCTGATGTAAATCTGCTCATACTTACTGCATTTCTGATATTGCGCAAAAAAATTAAAACAATTGCTAATATTTTAACCATGGTAACACAGACTGACTAATAAGTTCCATTTTAAATACCGTCATAGAAAAACCAATTAAAGCTTGGAAAACAGAATGTGAAGAGAGACGAGTGGCTGGGTAAGCTGTGCAAAGCCCTCAAGACGAAACACTGACCCACGTGTTTCTCACACATTTAGTCGGCGTTTTTTAAAACAAAACGACCCAAAAAACATTAGCGATGTTCCATGGAAACTTCTTGAGAAAAAAGACCTCAATTATCAGATGTTTTGTCTGAAGTTGTGATCTTCCTGAAATTGGGTGTCCTATGGTGAAAGTTGAAAATCTTTATTGCCAATTTTTCACATCTTTCACCGAACTGATTTTGGCGGATTTTTAGTATGTTGTTAAATAGCCATCCAACAATCTAATGTAAAATTTTCTGTAAACGAGCGAAAATAAATTCAACAGGGATATCGGTCAAAAATCTTTCCTTGACAACTCCTCCCCGTATTGACATTATTGAGTCAGGTACTGACCATGTGAGACCTGCGGTTACCGTCCGGCTATGTTGCCAGATTTCACAAACAGCGAAGTCTTCAAACGGAAACGATAAGTCCGTCTACTTACGTCTTGTATAAGCAGGGTTTGAGAACAACGTTCAATTTACCTTCCAGTGTGAGGATGGGTTTGAGTTCATTTCTGATGATATCACAACAATGTTCAAGATCTCCCTGTTTTTGTACTAAAAAGAAAAGCGAGAAGATAAAGAAAATTTTGGTATAAGGACAAATATATCAGCCATGTTGGACAATGCACTAGTAGTGAAGTAATGTTTTCATGTAAACCCATATTTTCATGCTATTCGTAAGTGGAATTCCTAGGCTACAGCTGTATGATGACTTTTTGGCTGTGAAACAAATCTTTAATGGTAAGGTACGTGAAAGTGTAAAACTGTAGTTTACGGCCCTATTCACACCAACTATAGTCGAACCTCTCGATACGGACACTTCTCTATTACGGACAGTTTCTAATGTCCTGACAAAATTCTCATATATTTTCTTTAAGAAAACCCTCTATGACACGGACTCTCTCTAAAACGGACAACGGACACTAAATCTCGGCCCCAGGGAGTACATTCATCATTACGGAAACTGCGGTGATCTGGTGCAGAATCCCGAATCCCGATCAGGTGATTTGCACAGGGTAAATCCCGTCTTGCAGATGAGCTATGCTAGGTGATTTCAAAAGCCCAGTCGCTGTATATCAAACAACGATTTGCGAAAGGTGTACAGAGGAACATAACCGGCTTTTTTAAGGCTTGAATAACTACAGATAGCATAGAGAACTTTTCTGTTACACTTTGTACTCTAGAAACTGTTTATTGCACTTGAAAAGTTGCGGCGAAAGACGCTTTCAGAATTGTGCCTTAGGTTACAACTTTTTAAATTCAGTATTTCGCTGTAGCTCGTTTCTTTTTAAAACTGTGATTTGTCTACGACTGTGCTTACTTTGAAACTGAGATGTACAATATATAACAATTATTCACCGAAGTGGAGGTGGCTAGTCCTGGATATTTACCGAACTGCGAAGCAGTGAGGTAAATATCCAGGACTAGCCACCTCCACTTCGGTGAATAATTGTTTTAGTATATACTAAAACAGTGAGATAATTGAGCACAAAAATGACGATTTTTAACTCAAATAGTGTTGCTAACGATTACAATTTTGGCGCGTAATGACCGGGCGGCCGCGGCCGTCGCTTTTTCTTGCCGACAACTAAAACTTTTGAAGGCATTTGTTTAGCTCTTGCGGGGAAATTTCTTCAAAAGGAGTTGTGAATTCTTTTTGTGTTTAAAATCATTCTATAAAAAAAGATTATTAAATTTAGTTTTAAGGTTATTTATGAAAAACTCAACTAAATAAAGTAAGCAAGACTTAAGCTTAATTTGCATTTGTAAACAAAAAACTTTTTCACGGGTTTTATCGATAAATTCGTGTCAAAAAGACAAAGCTTTACCTGTTAAAACTTCCAATCCGAACTTCGTCACCTTCTTCGTGTATTTCGGAAACAGCTTGCTTGATTAGTTGTGAAATTTCTTTGTT